CGGGAGCGCTGGACGGCCGACTTCACCCACGAACTCTTCCGCTTCGCCCTGGAGTGTGAGTGTCAAGGGATGGCCACCCCACCCCTGGGTCCTCAGGAGACACGTCCTTCCCCGAAACACCTCTTTACGGGATGTCCCAGATGGGCAACGCGTTGCGTTTCCCTCAGCGTCATCCTCAGAGATGGACAAACATGCTTCTGCCCCAAAGCTGTAGGGTCTGGAGGGGTGTCCGCTCTCCAGACAAGTAGGGGACAACTCAACGCTTTTGATAAAACAGTGTTTTATCGTCTACTGGTCATCAACTGGTAGACAACTCTGCCTAACAAGGGGTGCCTCCATGGCCCTGTGATGCTCAGAGCAAGCAGGAGGCCAAGCCAGGTCCCCATAGCCATGGAAAGGCTGGAGATGGCCATGGGAGGGTGGAGGGGATGGGGAGAGTGTCCCCCATGGCCAGGTTCCCTAACGGGTGCTGTTCTCGTAGCCGTGTGCCATGTGCTGTACGGGGAGCGGTTAGGGCTGCTGCAGGACTTCGTGGACCCCGAGGCGCAGCGCTTCATCGACGCCGTGACCCTGATGTTCCACACCACCTCGCCCATGCTCTACCTGCCGCCCGCCCTCCTCCGCCACCTCAATGCCAAGACGTGGCGGGACCATGTCTGGGCCTGGGATGCCATCTTCACCCAGGGTGAGTGCCCACACCTCCCTGTGTCACCCAAGGTCCCTTTGAGGACTCTGTTTCATAGTGCAGCCTCATCTCACCGGCATGGAGACCTTCCCCTGGGTCCAATCACCCAGCACAGGGCCACCAAGGCCAGGAAGGCTTTCCACATCCAAAGCTTGTGAGGTGGAAAACCATCCAGGAGCAATGAAGGGCAGATGACGGGCATCACGTTGAGGGCAGCAGCTCTCCCAGAGGGGCTTGTGGGCTTGGAGAGCTTTTGGCTCCTGGGACAACCTTCCTGTAGGGTGTCCCCACCCCAGGGCACCCTCACCCCCCACCCTCTGTGCCCACCCATCACAATGGCGATGGAAAAGACACCGGCATGGGGCAGCGATGTCCTGAGGTGCCACATCTGGTGCCTGCCTCCTCCACCACGGCCCTGGGGGAGGAAGACCATGCCTACCGTGTCTCCTCAGCGGACAAATGCATACAAAACGTCTACCGGGACCTGCGGCTGCAACGCAAGAGCACCAAGGAGTACATGGGCATCCTCTGCAGCCTCATCATGCAGGACAAGCTGCCCTTGGATGACATCAAGGCCAGCGTCACCGAGATGATGGCGGGCGGGGTGGACACAGTAAGGAGCAGGCAGGGTCGTTGGGTGGGCAGAAGGTCCTGGCTGGTGTTGAGCTTTGCTCCTGTGCCCCGTTCCAGACCTCCATGACACTGCAGTGGGCCATGTTTGAGCTGGCACGGTCCCCAGGGGTCCAGGAGCAGCTGCGGGCAGAGGTCCTGGCCGCCAAGCGAGAGGCGGCAGGGGACAGGGTGAAGATGCTGAAGACCATCCGCTTGCTCAAAGCTGCCATCAAGGAGACGCTCAGGTGAGGAGGACCCCCCTGCTGAAAAACACCCCTTCCCTCCCCAAATCGCTGGCACTGCTGGTGTGGCGTGCATCGAGGTGGCACGTGGGTGGGCCAGGCTGTCCCCAAAATCAAGTGTGTGGGACCTGTCCCCCTCCTCTCCCCAGGCTGCACCCCGTGGCGGTGACCCTGCAGAGGTACACCACGCAAGAGGTCATCCTCCAGGACTACCGCATCCCCCCCAAGGTGAGCACGGCCACCGGGTCCCTCCTCATCCCGTCCCGCTTCACATGGTGGAGGTGGGACCTGGAGCCACGGGTGGGTGACATGGGAGATGGGATCAGCCGTGGGGCTCATCCAGGGTTGGACCTTCACTCTGAGCGCCGGTGAAGCTGCGTGGGGAGCCCAGACCCATGGGACCCATCCTTCCCCGCAGACGCTGGTGCAGGTCGGTCTGTACGCCATGGGTCGGGACGCTGAGGTCTTCCCCAAGCCGGAGCAGTTCAGCCCCCAGCGCTGGTTGGCAGCCGGCCCCAAACCCTTCAAGGGGTTGGGTTTCGGTTTCGGACCCCGCCAGTGCCTGGGCCGCCGGATCGCCGAGCTGGAGATGCAGCTCTTCCTTATGCACGTGAGCATCCTGCTGCTGGGGACACCGGGGACTTCGGCCGCTTGGAAGGGACCGGGAAGGTGGCAGGCGGGGTGTCGGTACCTCCAGTGTTTTCCATCCACTTTTTTCTCCTCCCTCCCAGATCCTGGAGAACTTCAAGATCGAAACCATGAGAGCGGTGGAAGTCGGGACCAAGTTCGATCTCATCCTCATCCCGGACAAACCCATCTACCTGACCTTACGGCCGCTCGAGTCTCAGGCGTGAAGAGCCCAATCCTGAGCGACGACCAACTTCGGGGACGTCCCTGACAGCCTGGCAGGCGCTTGACGTTCCTTACAGCCAAACTCTGACCCTGGGGGTGCGATCTGGGGGACGGCCGAGAAGTTTCCAGGGCCACGGCCTTGGCTTGGCGCATCTCCGCCTTCGCTCCAGCCCGCTCAAGGCTGCGCTTACGCCACGGGGGAGAGAGAGATAAACCAGAGCAACCCCAGCCCCGTAACCCCCAAGGGATGGCGGGGCTGGGGTGGGTGCCGCTGCACCCCCTCCAGCTTTGCTTGAGGGTCCTTGGGTCCCCACCATCCCCCCCCCCCAAAAAAAAGGGCCCCCCTGGGGACCCAGCCAGCCTTGGGTTTCTTGGCGTCTCTCGCCGGCCGCGGGATGGGGAAGGGGTTGGGGTCTTCTCAGGGGGGCCATGGAGGTCACCGGTGGGTTCTGGAGGGGGGAAACGGGAGAAGGTCTTGGCGGGCTGTAAATCCGTCCCCCCCACTCCCCTTTGGGGGCATCGGTGGTGGAGGAGACACCTGCGATAACCCTGTGGGGTTGGGGGGAGGGGTATTGTGTCACCCTGGGGGGTGGCCCTGGTCCCCCCCAAGATGTCCCCCAGGTGCTCACCGAGGCGAGGGCACGGGGGAAGCCGTGTTGCCGCTCCAGCAGACGAGCGCCGAGCTCCTGCTTCTCCCGTCCCCACCTCCTCGCCGCCTCCTCCAGCTGGGACAGACCCAAACCAGGCTGGCTCTCTCCACGGCATGGGGGTCAGGGGTGTCCCCTACCCCGGCTTGACACCCCCAAAGCCTCCCCACACCTCCCCATCAAGCAGGGTGCCCACCTGCTTCTCCAGCACCCTCCCACGGGCTTGTGCCTCCTCCAACCTGGCCAGCAGAGACAGCTTCTCCGCGCCCCCAAAAACACCCTGTGGGGCCACGAGATGAGCAGAAATGGGTAAAGACAATGTCGGATACCCCCCCGCCCCGCTTCCACCCCCTGCTCATGGGGGGTGGCTATCACCCCACGGTGCTGGAGATGCCACCAGGGTGATGCCCCCGGCATGCCTGGTTACCCCCGGCGTTGCTTTCGGGGGTGCCACGGCTCTGCCCCCCCTCCCTGGTCTCACCGGCAAGGCTGGGGGCCGTGGGGCGATGGGGGACGAGGGTTGGGGGGCCCTCGACAGCTCCTCCCGCAGCCTGTGGTTCTCGGCCAGCAGCACGGCATACACCTCCCTGGAGAGGGCTTCGCCTGTGGGATGGGGTGGGGAGGGCCACTGGGACATGTCCTACGCCCCCTCTTTGCAGAGTTGGGGGCTAGGAGCAAGGTCCCACCTCCTTCATGCCCAGGGATGGGTAAACAGGGGGGTCAGGACCTCCTCTGGTCAACCACCACAAACCTCCCCATGGTGCAAACACTATGGCCAACAGGAACATGGCCAACATGGAAGGGGAAGGACAACAGTGGAGCCCAGCAGCTGTATACGGGTCGTCCCCCAAGGGTCCACCGTCACCGTTTGCACCCACCCTCTGGCTTCTCAGTGCTCCTGGCCCCCCCGTTGAGCTTCTCCTGCAGCACCCGCTCCATCGTCTCAATCACCTGTGGGAGAGAGCAGAGCCATCCCCAGGTCACCAGCTCAATGCAAGGCTGTGGTGACCATCACGTCTCCCCAGCCACCATGGTCCTGGGACCAGGTAGTGCTCACAGAGGGGTGGGATGGGCCAGAGGGTCTCGTGCCCCCCAACTTGCCTTTCTCACCCCAACCCCATGCCCCCCAACTCACCTTCTCCTGCTGCCGCACCGTCTGCTCCAAGCCCTTCATCTTGGCCACCTTCTCCTGGCATCTCCTCAGCGTGGCCTGCTGCTGCTGGTGGGCTCGCTGGAGCAGCACCAGGTCCTTCTCCCAGTCATTTTTCTGAGGAGGAGCAAGGGGAAAAACCCCAGGGACCTCCATGCTGAGCCTCAAGCCTTGGGGCATTGTTTGTAGGGTTGGGAGAGCCTCAGGGTGTACGTCCTGGGGCCTTCAAGCACTTGCTTGGTTATGGGGGTGTTGTGGTGCTCTCCCTGCTGCCCCCTCCTGCTCCTCCACTCCCACCTCACCCCTCGGGCAGCCCCTGCCCACTCCTGCCGGTGTCTGTACCCGGATCAGCTCGTTCTGCAGCCGTTGGACGCGGTCCTTCAGCTTCCTCATCTCCACTGTGCCGGCCACAAGCTTGAGCTTGAAGGTGGCTGCAACATCCCGTGCCATGTGCTCGTCACCTGGCCAGGGGATGGCGCAGTCCCCCTCTGCTGTGCCAGGGAGAGAGGTCCCCAAATTTCCACCTCCCCCTTCCCCGTCACGCACCAAGTCTATCCAGCAGCTCCTCCCGGGTCATGACGTCCAGGTCCACGTCGGCGAGCAGAGCGTGGCCCAGCTCCTCCTGCGAGGCCAGGCTGCGCCGCAGGTGCCCGTTCTCCACCTCTAGGCTGGTGGCATGCTGGCGCAGGGTCAGGAGGTCCCCTGCCATCCGCTTCAGCGCCAGGCGGTAGCTGCCTACCTCCTGCCAGCCCAGAGCAGAGCTTCTAGCAACCCACTGCCAGCCAGGGCTCTCGCCAGCACCAAAAGCTCAGCTGAGGATATTTGTCTTGAGGGTCAGACCCACCACGGAGAAGCTAAGAAACATCCAGGTTTTCCCTTCCTCTTGCAACCTCCATCCTGCTCTTCCCATCCATCCATCCATCCATCCATCCATCCATCCATCCATCCATCCATCCATCCTTCTCTTCCCCATCCATCCTTCTCCAACCACCCTTTCCTCCTCCAGCCATCTATCCTTCTCTTCTCTACCCATCCATCCTTCTATTCTCCATCTGTCCATCTGTCCATCCATGCATCTATCCATCCATCTCTCCATCCATCCATCTATCCATCCATCCATCCTTCTCTTCCCCGTCCATCCTTCTCCAACCATCCTTTCCTCCTCCAGCCATCTATCCTTCTCTTCTCTACCCATCCATCCTTCTATTCTCCATCTGTCCATCGGTCCATCCATGCATCTATCCATCCATCTCTCCATCCATCCATCTCTTCCCCATCCATCCTTCTCCAACTATCCTTCTCTAGCCATCTATCCTTCTCCTCCCTAGCCATCCATCCTGCTATTCTCCATCCATCCATCCATCCATCCATCCATCCATCCTTCTCTTCTCCAACCATCCATCCTTCTCTCCTCTCCCTCCAAACTTTCTTCTCTCTGCCTGCCCACCTCTCCCTCCAACCCCCCTTTCCCCATCTCTTCCCACCACCCCCTTGGCGGAAAAACAACTTTCCCAAGGACGTGGCGTGGAGCAGTGTCAGACCTGGGGGTCAGCCTCAAGCTCGGAGCCTTACGGGGCTGTGCAGGTCTTTAGAAGAAGGGAGGGGGTGAAGAATAAGGGAGGGATGAGTGTTTTATACAGATGAGCCTGGGGTTTCTTTAGCACCCGTGGAGCTGGGGAACGCCCTGCCAGGTGATGCTGTGGCGGGGAGGGAATAATTCCCTGAGGGTTTGCATCTTCTCGGGCTGAGCCTTCTGAATCCCTCCCTGCTGAGCTGGCAGAAAGGATCCTGGTAGCGGGGACCTTGGCCGGGGAGAGCCACGTGCCTCCAGCTCCCCTCGGCCCC